TCCTTATATGATGATCCAATTAGCAGCAGATAATACAACCATAGAGTATCAAAATTCAAAAGAAGCTCATAAGCTACGTGGTTGATCCAAAATAAAATTTTGTTCTTTATTTTCTTTTATTTTAATTTTTTTTCTACCTGGGAGAAATATTCCAAGACTAAAACTGATATTTTCTTTCAATTTAGTAAAGTTATTTACTTTTTTCATAAGCTCAGCTTCGTAAACCCTGCAATGCAATTCCAAACTCAAGAAGAGACAAACATTTAGGGGGTGTTTGGTTGGTGGAATTTGTTGAGAAAGATGGGTAAATTGGAAGTGGGTTTGTTGGAGAACCATGTTTGGTTGAACCAGTTTCTTACTTGGCTACCTAAATCATTTCCCTAGTGAACCCATTTGCAAGGCTATCTGTAACGAAAAAGCAGGCCAAATAATCCCACTTCTTACGTGGTATTGCCTCTTATCTAGCTATTTGTTCTTATTGTCCAAGCGAGCGATGACCAGTGTACCTTCTTAAGCGCGCGAAAGTGAAGACAGTCGTACCAAATGGCAGAGTTGCTTGGATTAGAACTTACCTGGTTACCCATCTTTACAATCCAAACTTCTGCAACCATAGCTGCTGCAACTTTCACCAGTTTCCCTTCAAAATCTGATGCAGATTCAAAATGGGGTGCCAAAATTTAATCACTCTGATTGTTCTATAGCCCCAAAGGTGTTTTCTTTGTGAAGCCTTGAACCCAGAGCAGTGAAAACTCATATGAAGCTCAAACACCAGAATAGGTCTTGTGAGATAAATTAAACAAGACCCATTAAAATGGACAATAATAACAACCCAAAAGCTTACCAAAGTTGCAAACTTTACTGGTCAACTGTGCTTTTAGGAATCAACTTTGCACTTGAATTGTTCGAGGGCATGCTTATAAAAAATGGAAGAGATAGTGGAGAAGTCAAAGAGTGCCCAAGAAAGTTCAAACATACATAGCGGCACAAATTGAGTAGGCGTGGGTAGAAGGAAGATGATGGGTGTAACAAGGGAGAGTATTTAGAATATTAAATTGTGGACTGTGGACTTAAATATCTTCAAAACAGGGTTACTTTGGTAATATCAACTTGTTTTCCAATCTATATTTTACCTCCAACCAAACATACATTTCATAAAAGTTACCTAATTTCTTCGGTAAAGTTTTTCCCAACCAAATAACTTTTTTTTACATTTTCCTGCCTATCTCACTTTCCAACCATTTCCTTATGTATAACATTTCCCTATAATTCATAAAATTTCTCCTCAACCAAACGCCTCCTTACTCAAATGCAACATAAATATTCAGGTCAATGGCAGGCCCCTAGTATTCCATTATGTAAATAGGGGTAAAATTGATAATTTAGTTCAATTACTAATATTGTTAAAGGTGGACTTAAATGGAAAAAAAACTATAGGGGAGGCAATTGATCAGGAAAAAAACATAGGAAATAAGTGATAAAAAAGTAAATCACATGAGGTTTTTGAACTTTTTCCGTAATTATATTAGTTATGATATGTTTATTATCCGTAATTATTGGTGTAAAAATAAGAATTTTTATCACAATATTAGTTATTGATTCATCAATTACACCTAGTTAGTGGTCAGGGGTTGTTCAAATCATGGAATACTATTATTCATGTATCAGGGAATCTACACAATAACATACAATAAGTGAATTTGACAACACATCTCAACTCAAAATCTTAAAACATTAGGGTTCTTTTGGTGGATATGATAGGATAAGGGTAGGATATGATATGGGGCTGATAAGCCTATATCATATCCTGTGTTTGATGAGCACTTGATTATCAATCTAATAAGATTATGTAGAAGGGGAAAGGAAAAAAAAAACAAAATATAATGCAATAAATACAAATATATTGGGTAGCGTGGAAATATATTGGGTAGCGTGAGGATATATTGAGTATTCAATATTGGTATCCTATCCTGTTGAATCCTAACCCAGCTCCCCCATAGGATAAGAAATCATGTATTGGATAGGATAAAATGAGACAATAAGATAAGTTAATCATATCTTATTGACCCACCAAACAAGGGATAAAAGTAGGATATGATAAGTTATCTTATCCTATCTTCTTTATCAGGTGCTCCAAACAGGCCCTGAGTATAATGGGTTCTTTCACTTACATGTTTCATACTTAGCTCATTTCTTTCGGATGCAAGACTTTATCACTCATACTTAAATTCTCAACATAATCAATGACTAAGATAAAAAATAGCTTACAATAATGTAAAATAGGGGCAGGTTATATTTACAAACTTTTTTGTTTACAAACTCTTACAAACTACGCTAAGTACGACCGGTCATACTTTAAACATACAGTGTACGACCGGTCGTACTTAGTGTAATTTGCAAAAAAAGTTTGTAAACGGATCCTATCTCTGTAAAATAATCTTTTTTTTTTAGGTTACAAGGAATTGAACACAACACCCTACACTACACACACTCCTAACACACACACCCCACACCACTAGGCTAACCCTAGTGGTGCATAATCTTATTTCTCTTATTAATGGAATTGAATTCGTTGGAAATATAAAATTACTTTTATCTGAATGCACTAACGGGGGAAATTACTTCTATCAATTTAAATTAATCTTTGGTTTCATATTTCAGCCTCCAAGCTTGTACAACAACCAATATTAAAGGAAAAACCAGAAAGCCACTCTCCCTTCGAACTACATATAAAACCTCCACAAGCCCCTGCTTTGGTATAAAGGTTGACAGCACCATCAACTAGGATTTTGACAGCATCCTTCTACGCAGCATTACTACAGCCAACAAAAGAAATAGGAGAAGATTGCACCTAAGAGAAAGGATCACCATTGCAACTCTTCTTCGTATCCTTCAAATAATTCAGAATCTTCCCCAATGGATCCTCAGGCCAAGAGAACAGATCATCATGTACTACAAGAATTCTCCAATACCATAAGAACCAACAAGTAACAAAGAATATGTCTTTCCAGGAGTGCCACAGCTTAGAAGAGAAGGACTTACAAATATTCAATTTGAACCAGTCTAACCCATCTACTGTGCTGAAACTATCTGGGATTCTCCCTCCAAACCATCTCTCCCACACACTTCTAGCTCTTCTGCAATCTCTAAGCACATGAAGAATTGACTCCTGACTGACAAGGCAACTTGGACATAGAATCTCTCCTCCACTCCAATGGCTAGTGATGCTTCTGACTGGTAGCTTATTCAAACAGGCTAGCCATAAGAAAGTAGCTATTCTAAATGGCCCTTTCCACTTCCAAATACTCGACCAAAGCCTGTCTTTCCCTACCTTCAGATCAGTTAGCTGGCAGTAAGCGTTTCTGACCATAGATCTAGTTGAACTATCTCTAATCCAACAAAGTCTATCATTCGGGCCATTTGGACTTGGAGGCAGTAAGCCTTGCAGCCTCCCAAAAATACTATCATCCAGGAAATTTTTCAGATAATTCAACTTCCAGCCACTTATTTCTTGCTCCACCATATCACAAACTTTTAAATCCAGATCATCAATATGAGGCTTAATGCACGCAAGCTCATATAAGCTATTATTCCACCCATTCCAGCAGTCAGCCCAAAAAAGAACAAATTGTCCATTGCCCACTTCCCAAACCAAATGGGAATCAAGTTTAATTCTGGCTGAGCAGATACTCTTCCATAGAGTCGAATCACTGGACCTAGTAATAAAACCTCTTCTAGGATCAAGTTTTCTACCATATTTACCAAGTAAAACTTTGGACCATAAGCTGTCTTGATCATTAATAATCATCCAAGATAGCTTTTGCATGAAGGCTTCATTTTGGAATCTGAGCTTGATAATACCAAGTTCACCACAATCTTTTGGCTTACATAGCTGATCCCAAGCAACATAATGAGCCTTTTTTTTATCATCCGAATCTCCCCAAATGAACTTGCGCTGCAGCTTCTCAACATCCTGACAGATGTGAATAGGAAGAGAGTTATTTTGCATATGATACATTGGAATAGCTAAAATAACACTCTTGGCTAAAGTAACCCTACCAGATAAAGACAAGCATTTAGCTTTCCATCCTTGGAGCCTATTCTACACTCTAGAAATGACACTGGCATAATGATTTCTTCTAGTCCTCCCATGTCTCATAAGAGCTCCCAGATAGCAACCAAAATTCTTGACAACCTTAAAACCACTAACATCAGAAATAGAGTTTATAATCTCCTGAGGGGTGTTCTTAGAGAAATATATACAAGATTTCTCCATACTCACACATTGTCCTGACATACTAGAAAACTTATCCAAACAATCAGAAATGCAGACCAGCTGGTTAAGGGAAGCTTTAGCAAACAGGATAATGTCATCAGCAAACATTAAATGAGATATCTGAGGCCCTGATCTCCCTGCCTTGATTGGATGCCAATTCTTCCTACCCACCTCATCCATAATTAGGTGAGTAAGTTTTTCCATACAAAGAACGAATAGGTAAGGAGATAGGGGATCCCCTTGCCTTAATCCCCTTTGAGGTTGGAATCCTAGGGTTCTGGCACCATTCCATAAAACTTCAATGGAGGTAGTAGTGACACAACCCATGACAGCCACAATCAAGTCACTCGGAAGCTTCACCTCTTCAAGGACAGATTTAACAAAACCCCAATTAAGTTTGTCATATGCCTTCTCTAGGTCAATATTGATAGAAAAAAAAAAAACTCTTCTTCCCTTTCATCTTATGCATGGAATGAATGAGTTCTTGGACAATTATAATATTGTCCTGGATATTCCTTTTAGGGAAAAAACTAACCTGATTAAGGGAGATAAGATTACCTATAAAAGGTTTGATCTTATTAACCAGAATTTTGCTAAGGCCTTTGTAGACAGTATTGCATAGAGCAATAGGCCTAAATTGCTTCATAAAGCAGTGTCTCTCAACTTTAGGAATCAAAGTAAGGAGAGTATGATTGATCTCCTTAATCTGATCTGGCATGTTAAGGTACTACTTCATGATGTTGAACACTTGATCTTTAATCAAATCCCAATTCCTGTGATAGAACAGAGCAGGAAATCCATCCAATCCTGGAGTTTTTAGAGGGGCCGTTTGGAAAAAGGCCTTTCTGACTTCCTCAACCGAAATATCCAGAGACAGCAGACTCATATCCTCCTCACTGATAGTTGGCCATGAGTAGACAGATTGATGCCATACTGCGTCATTCAGATCTTCCTTGAAAAGATTAACAAAAAAGTTCCTAGCTAAATCAATAAGATTTTCCTCACCAGAAACCCATCCACCTCCACTGTTCTGAAGCTTTAAGACTTTATTTCTCTCCCTTCGAATCAAAGTACTGGTGTGATAGAGCCTTGTGTTTCTGTCACCCCCTTTAATCCACTCCCCCTAGATTTCTGGTGCCAAATCTGTTCTTCTTGGTCCAGAATCTCAGATAATTCTTTGAGTAGCTTAGCTTCCAGATCCTCCAAATGATAGCTATTATGGAAACACATCTGCCTCTGAATTCCTTCTAATCGAGCAAGGACCCTATTCTTTCTAAGCAAGATGAATCCAAAGACATTTTTATTCCAGTCTTTAACCACAAGGATGAAAGAGGATAGACTATTCAGTAAACTGGAATTAGAATCCCAATTCGATTTAAGGAAAGCACAGAACCTTTAGTCATTCTGCCAAGAAGCCATAAACCGAAAGGGCCTCTCCCTCCAACAATACTCACCTTTTTCCATTCTCACCAAAACTGGACAGTGATCAGAAAAAATCCTAGGAAGATTCAGAGCATCAGCATCTTCAAATCTAGTTCTCCACAATTCATTTGAAACTGCTCTGTCAAGCCTTTTGTAAACTCTATCCAAATAAGGGAATTTAGGCCCTTTCCAAGTAAATCTATAACCACCACCTCCCAAGTCCATTACCCCACAAGCATCCAGAACCTCACTAAACAGCTTGCATCTATTGGTATCAACTGGACATCCTCTTTTCTTCTCAGCACCAGAAACTATTTCATTGAAATCACCTGTCAGCATCCAAGGCTCATTCATAGTCCTCCCAATGTGCTTAAGCTCTTCCCACAACAGTCTTCTATTTTCCTCTTGAGGACTAGCATAAACTGCTGTCCAAAAGAAACCAGCCTTACCAGGAAATTCAACCCAAACATGGATGAATTGATTTTGTTTCCTAATAAGAGTAACATTCACATCACCCGGGTCCCAAACAACCCAAATACCACCCGAATACCCAATAGCATCAGAAATAATAAAGTTTGAGAACCCCAATCTCCGAATAATATTCAGAGCTTTATTCCCACTTACTCTAGGCTCCAATATAGCAGCAACCCCAACCCCAAACTTCCTTCGAAACCTGCTGAAGGTACTCTTGAATTGCTTCTTGGCAGCACCTCTGCAGTTCCAGGTTAAGATATTCATGGAGAAATCTGGGGTTGTTGCAAGATTACAAAGTTCTTGCTAATTTTATCTTGGCTCACATCATGGGCCTCCTGTATATCAACATCACCTTCATAGGTTAACTCACCCATACCTTGCATGGTACTATCCATATCTGTATTCAAAGATTGCTCCACTTCCATTCCATCTTGTAAGGCAACTCTCTTGTCATTCTCCCCCATAACTGAATCAGGATGATCAAGGTCCTTTAGACCATTACCATTAATCAGTAACCCAGTCTGACTTTTGCTAACAACATTTTCTACCTGAGCCTCTGCAAAATTAGTTTCAGTCTCCATCACCAAATCCCCCCAAAATCTACCTTTGAGTTGCTCCAGATTAACATGGGAAGACTACTGAGTAGGTTTCTGTGATAAATTACTGCTATCAGCAACCAAGTTAGAAGAAGGTAGGATCAGCACCCATTTCCCTTTAGCTGCTGTAGCCTTAGCAGAATTCTTCTTAGGAGTAAAAGTCTCTTGCTTCACCCCTGAAACCTTCCTAATATTGCTCGATGCCTTTGCTGAAAATTTCATAACCCCCTCATTATTTTGAGGGTTGATAACCGAGGACAAGTTTTCCTTATTAACCTGAATGTTAGCAGCTTCCTCTTCTGACTTCTTGCCAGTTAACTTATTCAAATTACAACTACCATCATTGCCCACAGGCTGAGGCCCCAAACCCTTCTTGGTGTTCGAGATGTCTTCCCCAAACAATCTAGTACCCCTAGGATCATTTCTCTGTGAAGATTGACCTCATTTCTTCCTACGTTGGACCACCATCCATTCCCCAACCCCTTGAGTTCTAGTCTTAGGCACTGGCTGATGAACAGGTTCACAAGAAGACTCCATAGGAGTTGATTTCACAAAATCTGGGCAGGATTCAGAATTGTGAACACAACGGCCACATTTCAAGCAAATTAAAAACAATCCTTCATACTCCACCCTCTTCCTACAACCATCCAAAATAGATTCCCCTCTCAGAGGCTTAGCAAGATCAATCTCAATACATACTATAGCAAACCGAGCTCTATCTCCAGACGAAGTAGTTCTATCAACCTTTAAAACTTTTCCAATTACTGTTCCTAAGTGATTCAGAAATGGAAATTCACAATATTCTTGGAGAATACCTGGAAGTTGAACCCATGCCGCAACCTTATGGATATTAGCCCTATCTAGACCAAAACAAGGCTCCCACTTCCTTGTTGCTAGGTAATGAATGACCCAAGATCACCCAAGGACCACCGGTAATAGCCAAATTCAGGTCTTCCAAGCTGCTGAATCGAACGGAGAAAAACTCATTCCCTAAATCAGCAACCGTAATGCTACCCGCCTTAGCCCAGAGAGCATCTAGCCTTCGTTTCATAAAACCAACTCCGATTCTCTTACCCAGTAGTTTGACTATCAACGCATTCTTCCAGCGCTGCCTCATTCGAGCCTTGGCCTCACCATTACTTCGAATTTCCACCGAACCATCTTCACGAACGATCGTCTGAAATCCTCATTCAGAGATCTCCCCCTGATTCGGATCAAGCGGATCCAGATCCGGTTCTTCTTCCTCCATCAGCCAGGGAATAGATTCCCGAGACACACTGTTCTCCATCCCAGTAACCTCAGCAAAGGATCTTTGTTTCTCCAGAACCACTTCTCCAGCTTGAAATTCCTTCACAACATCTCTCATACGAGCTTCCGTCGGAATCTCGTCACCACTCTTCGTTCGTTTCGTACTCTTCCTCTCCATTGACAAAGAATCATTGAAACTCTCCATTGATTCCCCCATAGAACCAGCAAAAAATCAACAAAAAACCCTAGCAGAAGAAAACTTTTCGCGTGCGTTCTAACACGCACCAGACTAACCCATTTACCTCTCACTTCACTCGGATTAGCGAGTTATGTCATTTTTACAAGATGAGCCTAAAAGGCATTAAGCCTAGCTCGTTTATTTTTGTTTATACTTAAAAAAAATTCAAAGATCATGATGAGTTCACATTGGTAAGCTGACAGGTAGAATTAAGTTCCCGAGTCATGAATGGTTTCATTTATAAGATACACTTGTATCTGTTCAAAACAATATCATACAACATGACATAACATGCTATTTTTTTTGTCTTAAAGAATCTTGATAACATTCTTCTTCATCTGTAAAACCATCAGATGGTTAAAATAATATAGATTGAATTCACACGTTAACGATTCCGAAAAAGATTTTTTTAAAAAAAATTGTTCAGGCCTAAACGAGTTGTTCTTGAACGTTCATGGACATGCGAGAATTTAATTATGAACTGTTATTTTCTTTTTCAGATATATTGAAGAATTAAACACATAATCTATTACATAACTACTCACACTCCTCACCACTAGACTAACCTTAGTAGCTCAACGAGGTTAATATTCTGTTTGATTGTATTCTTATTTTTTTTAAAAAAAATTGTTTTGTAGAATAATTATAAAATAAGTGTTTTATGTTTTTTTTAAAAAAATTAAAGATTAAAATTCAAAATAAAAATAATGTTTTCTAAATTTGATTCTAAAAAAAAATTATAATTTTAAAAAATTTAAAAAACTTTTACAAAACAAATCTTATTCAAAATATTTTTTTATTTTTTGTTCTGAAAAACAAAGACTGTTTTTAGAAACAGTATTCAAACTTAGCCTCAATTTCACATTTTTAAAATAGGTCATGCAGGGAGACTAAACATATTTCGTATCGTAATTCGACCAACAAGGAGATGAAACCATTTGGGATAGAGCTTTCATCTTCTTTCCCTACTATTTCGTAGCTATCCTTCACGAGCATTTGGTACAGGAAGGATTTTTTTAATCTAGAAAATAATTATTACTGGAATATAGTAGAAAATATATTTTACTGAAAAGTTATTAAAAAGCTGTTTGATAGGATCAAATTTAGCCGGGAAATTATGAATAAATTTACTGAGTGTGTGTTTGGTTGGTTGTAATATATTTGTGGAAATATTGGATTATTTTACGAAAATAACCCCAGCATTACTGGAAATTTACAGATCGTACACATTGTGAAGGTCAATTTAATAAACATTTTTGCGCTATAAATTTTGCTTCCTCGGACACTGAATAATTCCACCAATTCTTTGGATCTATAATTTGACAAACAGAGCGAGAGTTAACACACAGATCCATTTTCCCGTAAACATATTGAATTTTATAAGAGTTATGTTGTAGGAAAAGTGATTGTGTAATGTTATAGAGATTCATTTTGTGTGTCGTAATTTTATTTCTTCTTCAAAAAGTATGAGCCTCACAAAATATTGTGTGTGTAGAAAACTTTGTTGTGTCATGATAAATGACAAATGCAAACCCCAAACATATTTGGCTAGAAAGTTTCCATATTTGAGCTATCAAACATAACATTCTTTATTCTCCATTTGTGCTTTCCCGAGTTTTAATATAAAAGTCGCGTACGAAAGGCCTTGTAAAAGTTATCAGAACACACAACACAACCCCAATTGCATTGCCGAGCCTTGTTTATAACTTTGTATCACACAGGGCCTAAGGATTATTCCAATAAAAACTCTACTATTTCGTAGGCATCCTTAAAAATTGGCAGAAAACACTGGTCCACTTGCATTGCCAAACCTGATTTACATCATATAGAGCCTGAGGGAGAAAATTTATTCCAATAAACTCTCCACCTATAAATAGAGTTTTTCTAAATCTCCTCTTTATTTTTGATTCGGATGTCATGGTGATCGTAGAAGTAGGGCTGTGCATGGGTCAGGTCGGGTCAGATTTTTGTCCGACTCGACTCAACTTGGTTTTTATAGGTCAGGTATTTTGACCCGACCCGCTTTAATTTGATCCAAGTCAGGTCTGACTTGGATTGGATTTTGTTGAACTAGTTCAGAACCAGTTTGGATCTGACCTGACTTGGTTTCTGAACTGGGTCAAATCTGACCTGACCCGTTTTTGACTTGGTTTTTTCACAAAATTTTGTCGAAATTTTTACGTTGCAAAATACGAAAATTTCGTTGCAAAATTATTTTTTCGTCGAAATTTTTACAAAAAAAAATTTCTATTCAAATTTAGTTTCCGTCAACAGTTTTGACGAAAATGATTTCTTCCATCAAATGTTTTACACGAAAAAAGAATTTACTCAAAAAATTTGATATAATGTTTTTCGTTCAAAATTTCGATGGGAATGTGTTCTGACGAAAATTTTGACGGAAATTATTTCGAGGGAAATGTTTCATTTGAAAATTTCTACGAAATTTAGATTCTCTAAATAATTTTGACAGAATATTTTTTTCGGCAAAATGTTTTTTTTGTCAAAAAAATTTACGGAAATTTTTTATAGAAATGTGTTTTGTTGAAAATTTTGATGGAAATTTTTTACCAAAAAACTTGACGAAAATTTTTAGTTGAAAATTTTCGATGGAAATGTGTTTCGCTAAAATTTCGACGAAAATTTTTTTTTGTCAAAAAATTTAATGAAAACTTTTTCGACGAAAACTTTCACTGAAATTTGAATTTTGTACAGAATTTTGATGAATTTTTTTGCCGTCAAAATTTTTTGATGACAAAAATATTTCCGTCGAAAACTTTCGCCGAAATTTGAAATCTGTAAAGAATTTTGATGAAATTTTTTTCCGTCGATATTTTTTTATGACGAAAATGTTTTCGTCGAAAACTTTCGCCAAAATTTGAAATCTGTAAAGAATTTTGATGAAATTTTTTGCCGTCGAAATTTTTTGCTGTCAAAATTTTTTGATGACGAAAATATTCCCGTAAAAAACTTTCGCCGAAATTTGAAATCTGTAAAGAATTTTAATGAAATTTTTTTTCGTCGAAATTTTTTGATGGAAATGTGTTTCGAAGAAATTTTCAATGGAAATTGTTTTGAGGAAAATGTTTCATTTGAAACTTTCGATGAAATTTAGATTCTCTAAAGAATTTAGACAAAATATTTTTTCTGTCAAAAGTTCTTATCGAAATATTTTTGTTAAAAAATTTTACGAATTTTTTTTACACAAATGTGTTCCGTTGAAAATTTTGATGGATATATTCTTTATCAAAAAACTTGACGAAAATATTTAGTCGAAATTTTTTTATAGAAATGTGTTTCGCTAAAAATTTGGACGAAATTTTTTTTGTCAAAAAGTTTAACGAAAATGTTTCCGTCGAAAACTTCGTCGAAATTTGAAATCTGTAAAAAATTTTGATGAAATTTTTTTCCGTCAAAGAATTTCGATGAAAATGTGTTTCGTCGAAAGTTTTTATGAATATTTTTTTTTATGAAATATTTTGACGAAATTTAGATTCCGTAAAAAAAATTGACAAAAAAATATTCCGTCAAATTTTTTTACCGATATGTTTTTAGTCACAAATTTTGTTGAAAATATTTTCCATAAAAAATTTTGACGTAATTGTTTTACGTTAAAACTTTTCTTTTAATGTAATTGTGATTTTTTTTTCACATAATGGGTATGGGTCAAGTTTTGGATCAGTGGGTCAATATTAAAACGAGTCAGGTCTAAAACTGACCCAAATAAAAGTGGGTCAGTATTTAAACCAGTTCAAAAAATATGGGTATTTATGTGTCGGGTCAAGGTCGGATCAAGGGCAGGGCAAGTGAACCAATTTTTTTGCAGACCCCTACGTAGAAGTACCCGTTTTTAACTTTCGCCGGGACTAACACCTCATTTTAAAAAAAAAGAAAAATGGAACAATTTGTTTGGATTCTCTCTTTCTTAAGATAAAAGCTACTCATAAGCAGAAGTTAAGCCAAATAGATTTTAAAAAAGGCTCTCGTAATGAAAAAAAAAATTATAGTAAAGAAAAAAAGTTAAAAGTCAAAAGCTCCTATGAAGAGCTTTTTTTAAGCTCTTATCAGCTTTTTTTGTATTTATTTATTTTAAATGAAAAACTATAATAATAGAGAGAGAGTTTTGTGCATTTAAATAATTTTTAAACTAAAAATTATTATGTAATCACTAAATAATTTTTAACTTTTTTTTAAACTCTTTTTTTTAATTTTAATTTTAATTTATAAATAGCTTCTAGTAAAAATCCAAAAAGGCTGGACACAATCTACAAAACAGATTCAAAAAGCGAGATATCAGCTAATGACACCGTATTACTACTCAGAAAACAATTCACAAACTTATATAGATAATACATCTCAAGCCGCTAGATCAATGATCGTGGAAGCTGCATGCGTCATACCATTATATAGCATTTAATTTTTTTTTTAGTACAATATATAGCATTTAATTAGTCGTCACTTACTCACTTTTTATCTGTTCCTTTCTTCTTCTTTTTTCGTGGAACAAGTGGTGCTAGGGGTGAGTGGGTGACAATTCGAACTGACAGAGTCGAATACGAATATACTTTATACGAACACAATAAATTTGTCAAAATCTTTAACACAAATAGGATCTACTTATTTTATGGGTTGATATAACATCATATAAATAACTTATTAACTTAAAAATATATCACTTATTATACCAGATTGACATAATATAATACAACACGAATAATCAGTATATCAAATGTAAGAATCGGACAATTTTGTATTTGTAAAATGATATAAATATGATACAAATTTAAAAACAAATTGCTATATGAGTATAAATTTCTCATGTTAGTATTATAGGAGCGGAGATATAAAAAAATATCATTTTTTTTTATACATCGATGAAAACTGAACATATAACCTACTATAAATTATCCAAATTTCTCATTAATAAACCAATTTTAGTGGCTTGAAAATTATCACCTCTACCTTACAAGATAGGAATTTTTTTTTATGCTGAATTCGGTACTCCCCTTTTCTTAAAAAAATATATTTTATCCACAATTAAACCAACACATTTATTTTTGTTTCTATCTGGATCCCAATCTTTTACCCTTTTGAAGATTTGTTCACAAGATAGATGCTTTTCTGACGCGGCCCAATACATACTTTTATAATTTATTTCTTTATTGCCCAATTTCACTTTTTTATTTGGTAGTGAATTTCACTCTTTTGTAACTTTGTTGAGGTTTAAACAAATTTCTTTAAGAAAAGAAAACAAGTATGGCCTCCACGTGACGCATGCCCACCTCATAACGAGATAATTGCAAGCCACGACATTTTCCATTTCCAACACTATTACGCATTCTATCGTCTCCTTCAACTTGCTTGTCTTTTTTTATTTTCTATTCTTAAATTAAATTTGTTATTTTATTATGTGATATTTGATCATGGGCAAAGAAAAAAATAAATATACTGCACAATTTTTATGTGAAGACTGAAGGATAAGCAATAAGAAAGATCTATGATCCGATTCTTTTTATGCACAAAAAGGTTAAAGGAAAAGAAAGTTATTCTATTTTAAAGTTAAAATATATTGTTAGAAAAATGATGTTAAAATCATTGAGAGGGGATAATTTGTGTTAAAAAAATTATTTCGACTATATTCACAGTTTTATGAAATACCAACAAAAAATTGTAACATACAATAATACAAAGTTAGAGCATACTTTACAAAGATATATAATTGCAACAAGAAAAATTCGAGCCCACATTGCGTCTTTAAGACAATATTGTCCTCTTTGTAATGTCCAAGATTCATGGACAATTATCTTCCATGATAGAATATATTACCTTTATTCTCGTGGTAGTACTTCCACATATAATAGTCCCCTCGAACTCAACCTATGTCTTTGTTTCGACGATGTCACAATCAGAAAAAACAACATCGGCGGACACAACAAACGCTGATCAATCACACAAATGAATCCAAAAGATTTCAAAATATTTTTTTATACAGAGTTTTGGTATATGAGAGAAAACATAGAAGTCTATTGACGATGAAGAGTCGTACCTATTCGGCAATGAAAAGTCATGTCTGTTCACCCGTGAACAATTATGTATGTTCAACATCTTTTTACACGCAACTTCTTATTCGTAACGTTTGAATTCTATAAGAATTCCAACATATATTACAAATTTTAACAAAATTATAATAATGCCTAAACATTTTTAGTTAAAAGGCTATTTGTATTTTAAAATAGGGATTTATTATTCTTATGTTACATAAGAAATAATCTATCTTCTACATATACAAATTCAAGATGGGTCTCACTTTACTTTTTTTCTCTCTTCTCCTGAAAGTGAATCCCACCTATACGAATGAGTCTGTAGGAGATAATAATTATCTCCTACTGCATAAGAAAACTATTACCCTTTAAAATAAAATTAAAACTGATTAGCATTTTATACTTATATATTTTGGAGATCAAATATCTTTACACGTTTAATTTTATTTTATTTTCTTAAAAAGTTAAAACGTTCGAAAATACGTACTCTGTATAAATAGCGCATACCTATAGTAACGATTAACTCTTCACTTTTTCCTTTAGATATTTAACTCTCTCTTTTTAATAACTAAAATCTCTTATGTAAAGGGTCCCATGAGCCATGAGGTGAAAAACTAGGGGTGGCAATACGGGTCAACCCGACACGACACGACACGTTTTCGACCAGTACACTATTTGACACGACCCTAACATGACCCGTTTTGTAAATGGGTCACAAAACACAAACCCTGACACGACCCGTTGCGGGTCACGGGTCGACACGACACGACCCGCAAAATTTAAAATTTAAAAAAAAGTGGGATTTTTTGAAAAATAAATAAATTAAAAACAATAAAAAATAAAAATAAAAATAAAAATAAGATTAGCTTCTGTTTTTTGAGATTTTTAGTTCCTTCTTTTCTTTTCTATACTAAACAATGACTATATATATCAATATATAAATGAATAAAAATAATAATATAATAAAATATTTAATAAAAAAATGACACTGTGCGGGTTGACACGCGAACCCGCGGGTTGACACGTGACCCGAAACAAAAAAAACGGGTCACATTTACACAACCCTGACACGACACGCTCTGACCCGCGGGTTGTCACGACACGTGATTTGGCGGGTCGGGTCACGGGTCAACCCGCGGGTCAATACCTGTATCGCCACCCCTATGAAAAACTAGTGGAATCTCCAAACTTAAATTGCTATCATTAATATCGTGCTAACAAAAAAGATTTTGTCACCTTATATTTTTAAAATAAAAATCAGCAAAAAAATACAAATAAAATAAAATATTTAAATTTTAAAAAAATCAGTATCTTTCTTTAAATAATTAGAAAAAGTAACAAATACTAGAGCACATATTAACAATTAAAACAAATTCTTCTGATCAAAAAAAGACAAATTCTTCTACCACAAGCACATAGATCAATTAATAATGAGCTGTTCTAGCTTAACCGGTCGAGTTTAAGTCACTTTAAAGTATTTTTTTTACTCATGAATCGAGGATATTATGAAAAAAAAAATATTAAAAAAAATTCTTTTCAATGAAATTAAGTATTAAGACTTTCTTAGTGTAAAAAAAGCTTTGAAAACTTATGCATTTGATGTTTGGATTCTATTTTTTCCATGTTATTAAAAATAAATATTTCTTATCATATATAAATGATATGAAGGGACCACCACCCATTAAAAAATATAATGACTTTATATAAGAGAAACATGAGATAATAGTTATCTCGTAGTGAAATGAGACAATGATTTCACTTTGATGTTTTACGGTAAACTTATAAATTTTGTTTCTACTCTCTAAAACTTGAGGAATTTTCAGTTTTACGATATTTTGATTACATTTGATTTTATGCGTCAGTTTCTTACAGTTACCTTCGTCCAGAAGCATGTACATTTAACTCTCTTGCTCAAGGGTCATTTAAGAATGGTTGTTGGTGGTTAATTAAACTTGAGTTTCAGTCTTTGAGTAGATCAATATATGAAAAGAATAAAAAATCTTGATATATAAACTATTACAGTACCTGCACCACTTTACCAAACTTTTCAGGTTCATTCATTCTTTGAGCCAGCAAAAGCGAGTCCACAAGCACATGGTATAACCATTCATCTGTTACTCTGCTTGCCAATATCATTACATAACAGTATCATTAACTCTTGTTTTTATTGCTTTCAACAAGTTACCAACTCACCTGTTGATAATTTATTTCCTTTATTCATTTTTATATTTTTTTCCTTCAGTGACATGAGATCAAGGTTCCACTTCCACCTCAAAAACCAGTTTCTAGCTTGTACAAAACCCTTTTGACCCTTTTTTTTTTCTTCTCTTTCTTTTTCTACATCTTTTTCTCAGTAAATAAATAAAAGTATTGCATAAAAAAATCTAGGACAATATCAATTACTAAGGTTGTCATTAGAGGTTTATACCAGGTTGTCCTGAGCTAGATTTGTGCTGAACATGAGTTTGATCTTCTCCTTTCATCATTTGCATTCAATCCGTTTCAATATAACAAAAGGGTAGTTCAGATTTTTCTTATGCTCTATGGTTTGGGTCTTCCTGGTTCTGGTGGAGCTTTGAAGGTAGTAAATTTAAAGGTGCAATCTTTGGTCTTCATTCTTATTCTATTCTTTTTGTGTTTTTTACCTCTTAATTGCTTGTGTGATTGACAAGTAGAAGTTCATTGCTTTCTTTTCTTGGCATGTACCAGCGTTCTTCCCAAGGCTGCAAAGAGAAAAATTGAAAGAGAAAAGAAAAATACATCATAATCAGTGGTTTTCTTTGAATAACTAGACATGTGGGATTGTAGAGAACTTGGCTTATTTATCTTTGCCTTATCAATCTTTCCCTTGGTATGTTTTTCTGCCAGCTTTGTTCCTATAGACAATTACCTTATAGATTGTGGAGCATCTTCCAATACTTCAATAGGTAGCAGCAATTTCACAGCTGATAGTTTCTTCAAGAATTTCCTTTCCACTAAACAAGATATTCTTGCCAATACTACTTCCTCTAATGATTTGCCACTCTATCAAACGGCAAGAATTTTCACTGCATCCTCAAAGTACACATTTCCTATTAACAAAAAGGGGAGACATTGGATCCGTCTTTATTTCTTTCCATTTGCATATGAAAATTACAATTTGGGTGCTGCAAATTTTGCTGTTACCACCCAAAACAACATCCTTCTCAGTAACTTCAGTGTGCAGAAAAATCCTGTAATGAAGGAGTATTCTGTTAATGTGACCTCAGATACACTTGTGATCACCTTTACCCCTTCCAGCAGCAATTCCATTGCTTTTGTGAATGCCATTGAAGTTGTTTCAGTCCCTGATGACCTCATTATTGATGGTGCTAACACCGTAAATCCACCAGCAAGCTACTCTGGGTTGTTGACACAGGCATTGGAGACAGTTTTCAGGGTTAACATGGGTGGTCCAACTGTGTCCTCTGGCAATGACACCCTTCATCGAAATTGGGTTCCAGATCAAAGCTTCCTTATACAACCTAACCTTGCCAGTTATGTTTCCAACATTGGTGCTGTTAAATATGTAGGTGTTTTAACAGAAAATACTGCTCCACCTACTGTCTATGGTACTCTAACACAGATGAACTCAAGTGGTGATCCCCGTAGTAATTTCAATGTGTCCTGGGAGTTTGATGTGGAACGTGGATTTCAGTACCTTGTTCGACTTCACTTCTGTGACGTAGTTAGTAAAGCTCTTAATGAACTCTACTTCAATGTTTACATTAACTCTTGGTTGGCTACTAAGGATCTTGATCTTAGTATAAAAAATAATAATGTTTTGGCTGCTCCATATTACATGGATTTGGTTACATCCCCATCTGTCAGAAATAAGATTCTTGTGAGTATTGGCCCTTCTACTCTGGATGGTGATTATCCTAATGCTATTTTGAATGGTCTTGAGATAATGAAAATGAACAACTCTATGAGCAGTCTCAGTGCATCAACAGTTGTGCCTGTGACAAGTACTTCTGGTTCGAATTCTAAGAAAGTTGGCATGATTGTGGGTGTGAGTCTTGGGGCATTTAGTGCAGTGGTCTTGCTTGGAGTTTTCTTTGTACTATGCAGGAAAAAAAGAAGGTTGGCACGACAAGCGCATTCAAAGACATGGATTCCCTTATCAGACAATGATGGAACTTCTCACAGTATGGGAAGTAAATATTCTAATGGCACAACAGCAAGTGCTGCTTCAAACTCTGGATATCGCATCCCTTTTGTGGCTGTTCAGGAGGCTACAAACAATTTTGATGAGAGTTGGGTTATTGGCATTGGTGGTTTTGGTAAAGTATACAAAGGAGAATTAAATGATGGCACTAAAGTTGCAGTTAAGAGGGGAAATCCGCGGTCACAGCAAGGGCTTGCAGAATTCAGAACTGAAATTGAAATGCTGTCTCAGTTCCGCCATCGCCATCTGGTATCATTGATTGGATATTGTGATGAAAAGAATGAAATGATCTTGATATATGAATATATGGAGAAGGGAACTCTCAAGAGTCATCTTTATGGTTCAGGTCTCCCAAGCTTGAGTTGGAAGGAGAGACTTGAGATATGCATTGGAGCAGCTAGAGGACTTCATTACCTTCACACTGGCTATGCTAAAGCAGTTATTCACCGCGATGTTAAGTCTGCAAATATCTTGCTTGATGAGAACCTAATGGCCAAAGTTGCTGATTTTGGACTATCAAAGACTGGTCCTGAAATTGATCAGACTCATGTGAGCACTGCTGTCAAAGGGAGTTTTGGTTACCTTGATCCTGAGTATTTCAGGAGGCAACAGTTAACAGAAAAGTCAGATGTGTATTCATTTGGGGTAGTTCTGTTTGAGGTTCTTTGTGCAAGACCTGTTATAGATCCATCCCTTCCTAGAGAAATGGTGAACTTGGCTGAATGGACAATGAAATGGCAGAAAAGAGGGCAATTGGAGCAAATCATAGATCCAACACTTGCAGGGAAAATAAGACCAGATTCTCTTAGGAAGTTTGGAGAAACTGCTGAAAAATGCTTGGCTGATTTTGGTGTTGATAGGCCTTCTATGGGAGATGTCTTGTGGAATTTGGAGTATGCTCTCCAACTTCAAGAGGCTGTTGTTCAAGGTGATCCTGAAGAAAACAGTACCAATATGATTGGTGAACTCTCTCCACAGATCAACAATTTCAACCATGAAGCAAGTGTTTCTGCAGCACAATTTGAAGCTTCAAGTCTAGATGATCTGTCTGGTGTTTCTATGAGTAAGGTATTCTCACAGCTGGTGAAATCTGAAGGGAGGTGACTTTGAATATTATATCTTCTAAATTTTGCATTACATTACTCTTCTTTTATGAATTTTGTGGTTTGTGTTATGAACAGTAGTTCTCTGCTCCCTCATAGAGGGTTGAGGCACTTTATAGACTTGTAAAGAAAGGCCAAGTTAATAGAACATGTTTGCTTAATTTTGGTAAACCAACAATACATTTGCTTGTTAAATCTCTGATTTGTGAGGTATGGACTGGATTATCTTGAAAAGTGAATGCAAGTTGTGCAAATATATTCTTTAGATACTTTACCACTTATCAGCCAGAGAAACTTCTGAATCTTAAAATTTGGCCAAGTTCTTATAAATACACAAAGAGGAATAAATCTTTGGTGCTACTGTTGCACCAAAGATTCAGAACATCTCACCAATGGAAATATTACATGTCAGTTTTTTTTTTTTTGTCAAATTTTTTCTCTCTCTTATGATGTGTAATGCTTTCATTGGTGGGATGCACTAAATTTTGATGCAACAGTAGCACCAAAAATTTATTCCACAAAGAGATATATTTGCGGTAAAATTTGGCCAAGTTCTTACAAAAAAAAAGAAACCCATATCTATTTGGAAGTTTTATAAGAACTTGGTCAAATTTTATAAATACACAAAGAGATACATGGTGACACAAGAGTTTTTTTTTTTGGTAAATACACAGTTATTTTTAGCCAATTGCCAAACATGTAGTTTCTCAGAAATGGTCGTTCAGTATGCGGTAATTTGTTATTCTTTTACATGGTTTGTTTTATATGCTTCCAAATACTCGAGTCTTATGTTCCTCTATAAGTAGCAAAAATTTATATGCATGTTATGCTCATGTACCACGTCAAATTTCTGCGACAAATTTTATGGTGAGAAATAACAAGTAATTAAAATGATTTGATAAGCACAAGAGATATTAGTCAGCCTTTGACACCTTAGTTCTTGATCTAGAATCTTGATTCCTCTATAATCCAAGTATTATAAGGGGATCTATGGGTGCAGATTTCAGCAAAACGCTCAGAAGACTTGCCATGGGATCTATTATAAAGGCTATAGAGAAACTAATAAATTTCTGAAATTACAAAATATAAAGAAATAATTGTTAGAAAATACATTAGTTACGGGGGGTTGCATTGCAGTTATACCTAAATGATAGGGGTTTGATTTTAGAAAATCAAAACTCTTGGTGAAGGCTGAAAGACTTAAACTCGGGGTCGGAATAGTCGGACCTTAGACATCGGTTGCTTTTATATTTGAGAAATATATTTTTTATATTGCATGAGCAAAAAAATAAATAGATCTCGTTTTTTTCTTTCTATCTTTCTTCAGTGAGTTCTACCTATTTTTTTTGTATGTTATATTAGACAAAATTGTTGAAAGTAACATACTTTCATTTATATTTTTTATCTTTTTTAAAAAAAAGGAGTATGTACAATTTAAAATTTGACTCAAAAATTAGTTTGAAATTTAAAAATTTAAAAAAGAAATTATAATAATCAACTTGGTTTGATTCAAAAACAAGTCGGTTTGATTTAAAATAGTTCAATTTTTAAACTGATTTTAAAAATCAATTTGATTCATAAATTGATTCTTTAAAAATCGATTATTTTAAGAAATCAGTTCAATTTTTTATTTATTTTGCACACACATACAAACAATGCGGATATAAATAAACAGGAAACAAACATGGGCTGGGCTTAAAAGCCCACTATCAACAACACAACTCTAGGAGGCAAAGACTCTTAACTAAAAGGGTTGAAGTACACTAAACCCACAGCAACCCAATTTCTCTACTACTTGAATAGAGAACGCAAAACATTATAAACAACACACGATATACGAATCAAAACTCCTCAAATGTAAAATTCGCAGTAGAAAGTTAATGAAGTAATAAACCGAAAACCAAATGGTTCTAACAATTTGGAACATTGTAATTAGATTACATAATTGCCAACAAAAGCACATTACATTACAATACAATACTCCCTACTCATATATTTATCATCATCGCCCCTTCTCCTAACTAACACACCACTAGCAAGGCTTTACCTCAGCCACATTAAACTCAACAGAAAATAATAAAAAACCCTAACCCCCAAATCCATATAGAGTCCTTCCCTGTCTCTTGAGAGCATAGACCACATCCATAGCAGTAACGGTCTTCCTCCTCGCGTGCTCAGTGTAGGTCACAGCGTCGCGAATCACGTTCTCCAAAAAGATCTTGAGCACGCCACGTGTCTCTTCGTAGATGAGACCGCTGATTCGCTTCACGCCACCTCTACGAGCCAAACGACGAATCGCTGGCTTAGTGATTCCTTGAATGTTATCGCGCAACACCTTACGGTGACGTTTTGCTCCACCCTTTCCCAAACCCTTACCACCTTTTCCACGCCCAGACATCTTGCTCACCAATCACAATCTGCACCTACACACACACAAAACAATTAGAACGAAAATCAAATTAAGCTAAACAAGATTAAGAACAATATAAAGATAACTTCATGCGAATTTATAAAAATATATTACCAACTGAGAGAGAAGATAAGGTATACGATATGTGACGGTAGATGACTGATATGGGTTGTTTATGGTGTGGGTTGTATTTATAGGTGGTCTTGGTTATTGAGGAGAGTTCGTGGATCCGTGGGATGGGTTTTTATGAGGCGTTTTCGACGGTTGATGAATTGTTAACGAACGGTTTAGATGTGACCTGGGACTGCGCACGGATTGGTGACGTGGATGAGGGAGGTTAATGACTCATTTCCATTTTGATTGAACTGTTTAAAAATAAAAAAAGTGGCTCGTGACTTTGGCGCCTTGCAGTTTGGACTCAAACTTTTAACGGTGTAGTATGTATGGACTATGGATTTTACATTAATCCTGTGTTTGGTACAAGTATTTTAAAAGGATTATTGGTTGATTTTTTTTGGTAAACGTAATTATCATATTTGGTAGAAAGAATAAAAATTAGTTCTCGGATATTCAAGAATTACCGATAATTTGATTTATAAAGTAAAGTCACTATTTAGATTAACAAAAATAATATATTAATTCAAAATACCAAGTAAAGGAAAAGCACAAAAATAATTTTTGAGACAAAAATATTTCAACACACATAAAATCTAGACCCAATCTATCAATTATAAAAGTTAAAAATAGTTTAGAGTTATTTTTGTAAAGTAACCTCATATTCCAAGTTATATTTCGTTCTAAACCAAACATGAAATCAGTAATTTTTACTCAATATTCCTGTTAATATTTTGACTAACCAAACACATTTTTCGTAAGATTCCAAGTAAACTCAATTTTTATTGTATTTTCATTAATCGTGATTTTCGGATACCAAAAAATTTCTCTTGTACCAAACACACCTTAATATTTTTCAATGGCATACAATCAACTTGGAGGAGATACTTGGTAGAGAGAAAAAAAAATTGTGCACGTAAATAATGATTACAAAGAATATGAAAAAAATAAAATTTTTGAAAATGTGATAAAAAAAATTGTTTTGTAAATCAAAATATTAGACTAAGTTTATTGATTATATGTTTAGTTGATTATCAAATTTTTGTTGAGAGCGTGAGGTAATTTTATAAGCCTTGTGTAAAAGGACAACCCACATTTATGAAATTTTACAACCCATCTTCCAGTAAATATGCTACTGGGGTACCCAAAATATAATTAATAGTGTCGAAAGTTGAATCAATTCAATGGGACCTCATTTTCTCTTGTTTCCACCGCCAGCAAATGGCTAGGTTGGTGACCGCCGTCTGGATTCAATCTATCTCTGACAAGAACTATACTTTTTACTCTGTTGCTCTCAAATCCCTCATGCATCTCACCCAAGTGGAGCTTAATAGTCTCTCTGTCACCAAAGATGTCCGCAAGGCCTTTAGCTGGACTTGCCTCTGATGGTTTCCCTACATGGGCGATTCTTCTCATTGGCTCCGTTGAAGGCCTCATTGACTATGGGGTTCAGTGGCTCGTCGTTAGCCATAGGTAATTTTGTTGCTGAAAAATTATAAATTATTCTCATGAGATGGGATTTTCAAAATATCACCTATTTGATGGTATTTTAAGTTGATATTTTTCTTTATAAAAATAAATCCTGTGAATTCGATTTTCCGGGACAAATTTTACAATCTTTATACCAAATATAGTTAAATAGAGTTCCTCATTTCAATTTTCCGGGAATCTAAAAAAAAATATTATAACCAAACATCTTTGAAGGGATGTTTGGTAGAGGATAAAAAAAAATTTATCTAGGAATCACGATTTTTAAGAATATGATGAGAAGATGAATTTTTTGAGAATGTTACCAAAAAGTTGTGTTACCAAATATTATAGGCATGTAGCACTTTACTATAAGCAATACTCAGTTCCTGCTGCCACGATATCATTGGAATCCGTTCCCGAACTTCAAAAATGTAATTTCTTTTTTAGAATATTACCAAGCAATTAGTTCCCGATAAGGTGGTTTCCAAATGGCATATGTTTATAATGGAAAAAATGTTTATTCTTTTAAATGACATAATTTATATCATTTCACTCTCACAAAGAGGTGGGACTCATACCTTTATTTTGTTTGTCAACTCTCTCTCCTCTTTTATCTATCTCTTTCTCTCTCTTAAGATGATATAACTTTACATCCTTTAAAATGATACACATTTTTCCCGTTTATAATTTATATAAGAGACTTCTCGAGATCAAACCATAGAAAAATCATCACAAAAATGGGCTATTAAACCCAAACGAACATCTTGAGCAATGAAGTAAACAAACAGAGAAGCCCAACAAAATCATAACTTTATCTTACAAAATCTTATACCATTAATCTTTTTCTTAGCAACCTTTTGAGAAGCTGATCAAATTTTATTTTTATTTTTTGATAGAAATCAATCGGTGGCTGAAGTATTGTGCATGACAACCTTTCCGAAATCATTTTTTTTTAATTTATGTTCCCGGGAACAGAAATAAATAGAAAACTTGTTTGGAAAAATCAATTTATTTTTTTGTTCTCGGGATGAACCGGTTTAATTTTTGTGTTGGAGAACAGAAAAAAGAATCAAAATATTTTTGTTTTTTTGTTCCTGTACACAAAACGAGAAACACTTATCTCTCTCAATTACTCTTCACCACTACCATCATCACCACTAGGGTTGGCAAAACGGCCCAACCCGCATTCAACCCGTAAAAAAGCGGGTCGGGTTAGGGTTGGCCCGAAAAAATAAACGAGCCAGAAAACTCAACTCAGCCCGACCCGAGCCGGGTTAGGGTTGGCTTGATAATCAGCTCGCGGGTTGGCTCAGAATAAAGCTCACAGGTTGGCTCAAAAAAAGCTCGCGGGTTAGCTCTAAACGATGTCAGTGGGTTGGCTCGCGGGTTGGTTAGCTCGAAATATTGGCTCGCGGGTTGGCTAAAAATAATTGATTTTTGTGGAACTAGTATTATTTGTTCTCCAACACTGCTAAAATTATCAACACTGCCAAAAGGTTCCAACTTTGATCTCTTCAAAGGTACCCAGATTGGAAAAAGAAAAAAGATTGAAGTAACAAATCTTATAACGTCAACAACATAGAAGAAGAACAATGAATCCATTTTCATATATATATTTTGGGGAAAAATAAAAAAGAAAGATAAGAAATATAGAGAAAAAGGTATTGCACCTTGGAGTAGTGGATTGCGTTTGTCAAGAGAATAGGCCAAATAGACCCGAAGATGCAAGGTTAATGGTAACAAGGTGAACAAGCTATCCAAGGGGGCAGAAGAATCTTAGGGTTAAGGAAAGTGACGAGTGACGACGATGTGAGCGTATGACAATTTTGGAGTTTTCATATTATTTTTTTTATTTTTTTTAATACAGTCATTTTTTTTTTTGAATTAAAAAAAAATACCCAACCCGCGAGCTGGCCCGTTTGACCCGCGGGCTGGCTCGTTTGGGTCTGGGTTGTATTGGGTCAGGTTGGCAGCTCATTTAGGCCAACCCAACCCGACTCATTTAGCATGGGTTGCGAGCCAACCCGACGGGTTGGCTCATTTTTGCCATCTTTAATCACCACTACCACCACCATCCCGACACGACCACCGCTACTATCGTCGTACCATCACCATCTCCACGTCACCACCATCGTCATTACAACCACCACCATCATCGTCACCACCATTATGACTACCACCACCACCACCATCGTAACCACTGCCATCAGCACCACCACTACTACTGTCAGCGTCGCCGCCACCACCATGTCATCTCCATTACCATCGTCGCAGACACTGATGTCACCACCACCACTACCACCTATTATAACTACTAAGTTGCTTCCATTTATAAATTATTCAAATCCTTTATTTTGTCTCCCTATTTTAATACTTTTACAAAAGTCTTCTATAGGTAATGTCGTATTAGGAGTACAGTAAAAGAGTCATATATCACTATTTAAATCTACTTCAGTTAACGATATTAATGATCTCTGTACGTCTTTTCCCCATCTTTTATCAAAAAGAGTTACTAATACTTTGCATCATGTTCTACTTCTTACTAACCCTTTTACCCCAATAATGAATAATCCTGTATGTATATAATTTTTATGAGATTTCTTTAATTGTTCTTTAGCTTTTTTGCTCATACAATCTAGAATTACTACTTGATCTCCTACACATGATACTTGTTCTTTTGAATAGTTTCTAAAAAATCATGTGTTCATAGTAAATCTTCCTACTTCATATAATCTTTTAGGCTCCAATATTTTTAAAGCAGATTCTCTACATTGCTCTATATTCTTATCTATGTCTATTTCTTCTTCTAATTTTATTTTATCCTTATTTTTAATATTAAATATCGCAAGAGATGATCTAAAACTAGTACTTTTCCTAGGTTGATCTATAATGGTTCTACTAGTACCAGGAAAAGATGTAATATTCATTTTCATAGACAAAAAAATTATAAGATTGTTTTTTTGTTTTTTAGGTTTTGGTTGTATAGGTTTTGATTTTTTATCAAATTCTTCTACAAGATTATCTATATCTATTTCTTCATTTTTTAACTAAATTATTTTCTAAATTTGTTATTCTTTGATGTAAAGTAAGTAATACTTGTATTATTAAATTGTGTGTGAAGGAGATTTGTGGGAAAAAGAGTGAGAATCTCATCTTGGCTCTTTGGAGAGAAGTGATCCTCGTGTGAAGGTGCATCAATTGACTGGTGCATTGTTGGAAGATGTTGTCAACAGTGAACGAAGGTGAAGCTTGGAGGCATTCCTAGCTGGTGAAGTCTGGTCCATGGAGTTGCGCAGAGCTGAAGACACAGATCCATTGGTGTTTGCTCTCTGATTCGGTGATACCTTTCTTTTGTTCTTACTTCTGTTGATATTTCTTTCTTTTGTTTCGTGTGTACTTTCTAGTCTTGGAGGTTCTTTTCTCTGTTATTTTGAGTAGTGCTGCTTTTACATGTTTAGTGTATATTGTGTTAGCTGCTGGTGTATGCAAATTGCTGAACATATTTATACCTATTTATGTTCTGAATAAAAGTGCATGCTAGAGGGCGTTTGACCCTCGTAGTCTAACTTGGACACAGAAAACTCTCTCACGAAGAGTTTCTAAACCAAGTATAAATTTCTGGTGTTCTTTTCTTTATGTTTTCTG